TTGCGACGGAGCAAAGAGCGGAACCTGGTGACCAGCGCCTCTCAGGGTTGCAAAAGTTAGTCCTCCGGCATAAGTCTCAACCCATCCAGCCACTTGATTCTTGTGAAACCATGACTTCCAAGATGACTCCACCTTAAGTCCCATTTTCTTTATGCTATAACATGTAGATGTTACTGGAACTCTCCCATCCGTATCTCCACTATGACCAAAAGAAAACCATTCGGATTAAAACCAGTTGACAATAAGTAGAAGGGTTAATATACTAATATATTTCTATACATTTCATGAATCTTTTTTCCTAATCTGAGACTTTAAAAAACAAAGAAACATAAATACCTATAGATCCAAATGCGGAGACCGCCCTTTAAGAGCTTCTGAATGATGGGAATCACGGTGGTCGGCGCTTCACTCCATTTTATCACCGCACTAAACCATACACGACATATACTTTAGGAAACAACCTCATTAATTCACCAATATTGATTTAATGATCATATTCTGTAGTAACGAATTTAAATAAGTAATTAAGTATCACATATATCTTTGTTTATTGTCAATTAATTTTGAGATGAAAATGAACATTTCGAACTAACCTGCAAGATTTGTAGGAATAAGGAATGTTTGTGATGTTTGCGTGGAGCGCGCTCTGTACGTCTTTTCTATTGAAATACTTCTCCGTGTAGCCTTCCGTGCACGGGTCATAGCCAGACGGCAAACTATCCCACAATCCCTAACCATTAAAAAAAATCATCAAATTAAAGAGTAATAGAAAATTATATATGAAGGGAAAAAAATCAAAGATGAAAATTAATGCTAACGTACTTGTGAAGTAAGTCGTGTATGAACTTTTCTTGGAGATGATAACGAGGAGATGGAGGAGAGACATATAGGAGTGTAGATGCTGTATATATTGATCTCGACGTAAGCTCTCGCAAACCCTATAAAACTTTTGACGCATTGTGCGGTTTCGTTTTGGTTTAGTTTCTCTCCAAAACGACATGAGTCATGAATGAGTTTATGAAGATTGTCCGATATTATCGCATGGCTCCATGCGTAGTCGACTATTCCTGCTGTGTCCGTAGCATCATCGATCACTGCGTTTCCTATCTGCAAGCACTCAATAACCAAAACGCATTTAGATCGGTTTTCCTTGAAGTTTACTTTGATTCTATGTTGACTTATGTAGCAAGAAACATTGTGTCACAAGTAATCGTGTTACTACATACTGCATACCATGAAACCCTTGAGATTGATGTGAGACTCTCTTGTAACCTTCTTGTTCCGGTCGTAAATGACCTCCGCAAGCTGAGGAACATAGTGACCTAAGGAAAACAAAAACATAATCTCTAGAGATCTTTTGTATATAAAAAATGATGTAATTTGGTTATTCTTTAAATGTATTTGAACAAATTTTAATTGAAACTCAGCGATTCAACCCTATTCATTTGCAAATCATCAAATATTGAATTCATCAAAAACAAAATCGTAACCAAACCAAACTACATATACATTTTAAACAAGGCTTCCCAAAAAAAAAACAAATAGAACACAATTACGTATATATATAATGCATATAGTACTTTACCTGCATAACTCTCTCCAGCGATGTAAAATTTGTTGGATCGAAATTCGGGAAACTTCTTGAACCAGTTGATCAAGAAAACAAGAGAGTCCTCCGCAGTAACTTGATCTCCAAGATTTTGAAGATCCATTGAGTTATTGCTATACGAGAACCCAACCCCTACCGGAGCTTCCAAGAACAACATATTGGCCTCTACAAAATATTATTAAAACAAAAAAGTTCTCATAACAATATCATATTTAGGTCAATAAAATATATGTACTCATATTTATCGTTTTAAATTAGTAATTCGTTGTACCTTTGTTCCAAGAGAAGTTATTGAAGGTAAGGTTGCCACCTTTGGTATGAACAAGGAAAGGGCCTAGTTCTTGCGCAGCTCCAAAAGCGATCGATGAGCAACCAGGTCCTGCAAAAATCATATTTAAGTGATTTTTTAACAAATTTTGTTTGTTTGCTTTATACTCTTTCAAATAATAACTAACTAGTGATTGCCTACGCGTTGCGTGGGATTTAAAGTTAACATGGTAAAATATGTAATAATTTATAATGTATTGATTACTTGTGTATTTAATATCATATAAATTTAATGTTAGAAAACTAACAATTTGCACCAAATTGTTGTATAAATACAATGTAATAGGCAAAAAGGAGAAAAGACTGTTACAACATAAGAAAACATCTTTGTTGACACAAATACTTAACTTGTATTTATTTATCTATATTCACTTCGGTTTCCTAAAACAACGATTGTAAAAATCTATTGATTAGACATATTATAGTATATTTTGCTTCTATAGAGACATCTGCATATCCTCAACAGAAATGTTGGAATGCATCTTTATGTTTATTACATTAGAATCTTGAATCATAATGAGAGAATAATTGATGCTTGATTGTATATGTGTATCACTTTATTTGTAGATTGCTGTGATATTTATCTTTCACATTGATTCATTGGTAAAATGATTTTTTTTTCTAGATTTATAATTTGTGGTGGAGTAAAGTTTTCTTTCGAAAATCTTGGTTAGGAGAGTTATTTTGTCCAACGCAACTTTTTTTTAATTGTATTAGGAAGT